ACTTGAAACAAGTCCCTTGAAATCTGCGCTGCTGCTACACCCTCTGATCCTACTGATGTCCCTTCTTATGAGAATCCTGCTGATGTGAACCCTTACCCTACTGCTAGGGTCCTCCTGAGCCTGCAAAAGGTCTCCTACCTTTACCTTTATCCCTGGACTGTCCTGATTTAACATTACCATCCTTGCCCTTAAGGAACATAGTTGTGTCTGTCTCCTGAGCCATAGCAACATCTGCCACCTCCCGTACTGAATGGAACCTCCGAGATACTAGATATCAACGTAAACCTAGGCGAAGTCCCATCATAAACATCTAAGCCTGTCACTCCTCGGCGTGCCACATGCCCGTGAATCTAAGTAGTGACATGAATTTACTCTCAAAATCCGTCATGGACATATCACCTGCTCTAGCATAGCTAGCTCTAACTCCTTCCCGACTTTTGCTACAGTCGACACATACTGCTCATCGAAGAAGTATATAAAGGTTGCCCATGAAACCATCATCCTCTATTCTGGAGTGAAACGAAGCCGATACCATCCTCCTGCATCGCCCTTGAGGCTGAAAGCTACTAGCCTCTGCTTCTGCACAATATTCACATTAACTATATCCAACATGTTGATTACATCCTCCTTCCATTTGTGTGCAGCAATGGAATTCGACGAGCCATGAAATTCTGATGCCTTTAATTTCTAGTACCTCTCTACTAGACGAAGCCAAGCCTCCTGTTCAGCAGCTCCATCATCAACTGATGATGGCGATGTATCTACCGATGTCTCCTCTGGTATCTCATCCTGAATGGGTGTCTCCCGCCGAGCTTGATCTGTTAGCTGCTTCTTAATAGCTGCTAGTCAAGCTATCAAAGGTGCTATGAGATCCACTAAGTACTGCGGAGGCTGCTGCGGCTCGGGCTCTCTATCGGCTTGCTCAGCTCCCTGAACACGAGCACCTCTACGTTCATGTCCTCTTCCAGACATTTATAAGTTTCAAAGTAGAACTTATTCAATGTAGTAAATAAGATCTTAGGCATAAAGATAAAATATACATCAATAGGAAAATAATATCACTTATCATTCACCGCATGCTTTATACTTCAAGCAAATAATTCATCATATAATTTTTTTTTGAAATTTTCGCGTATATATATAATACGTCCTCACTCATACTAGGAAATCCTAGTGACTCTATACATGATTCCTAGGAAACTCTATCCTACCTTCATAATATGACACATGGATGATCCTAAGGATATTGGAACCTAGAGCTCTAATACCAACTGTGAAGCCCCAGGGTTCAGGCAATGCTACAGTCCAAAGTGAAACCCGGATTGTCAAACCTGCTAAGCACCAACACCATGTTACGACACATTTCACCATCACAGTTACTATCTCTCTAGTAGAGTCAACAAAAGGTGAATGTACAAAACAAGCAAATAATAGAAATAACACAAGATCAGATATGCACAGAAAAAGTATAAGAATAATCAATAAATGAGCCCAACTAAAATAGAATGAAAATATCTCTGAGTCTGAAATAAATCTCAACACAACGAGTCAAATGTAATCTCACTAAGACACTCAGCCTCTATAAAATACAATACACGTTTAGAGTCTGAAAATAAATAACTAAATGTGGAGTTCTGAGATAATTACAAATATAGTAATATCTAGATGGAATCTAAGATGCAATCTCATTAACCCGTGACTCTCCATGTGCCAGACTCACTGCCTGAAAAGGGGGGCAACAACGAGTGTCAAAGCTCTAGCGAGATCATCTCCACTACTTCCAAGAGGAAGGGATAGGAGTATATAAGAAAATAGAGTCAGTACACATCAATATAAAATCATTCATATAACTCTAAATGGAGATTGATATTTAGAAATCCACAACACGAGAATTAGTACGTCAAGCAAAATAATCCAAACAAGGAAACCCTCATGTAGATATCATGTCTCAAATTGTGAATCCCTAAATACCAATTTCAACTCTATGAATGGAAACAACACTCAAAAAAATTACTCCAAACCTCAACCATATAGAAAACAATGCCACATCTCGAAGTACCCTTGAGTAGTGGCACAATAATAAGAGAATATCACCCAACTCATGATCACCATGGTATATATATATATATATATATATATATATATATATGTGCATCTCCATGTGCATATAGCGATACTCTTGTAAGGTTCTTACTCAATCGCTCTGCGGCAATAGGTTTTATCTCCCTATTCCGGCTACATGAACTAACGATACTTTTGTAAGGTTCGTACATTTACGTGTGAGTTCAACTTCCTTACACATTTACATGTGAGTTCAACTTCCTTACTCAATCGTTCTACGGTAATATATTTTATCTCCCTATTCTGGCTACATGAACTAACGATACTTTTGTAAGGTTCGCACATTTACATGTGGGTTCAACTTCCTTACTCAATCATTCTATGGTAATAGATTTTATCTCCCTATTTCTGGATATGCTTCCAGATGATCGTACAATGGTGAATAGGCACATCAGCCCAACTCGAAAAACACACCGATCATCTTCGAGTATTTGGTACCGCCGAGGTCTCATTACAAAAAAACAACCAAACAATCCTAGTGTGATACAGCCGAGGTCTCATTATAGGATAAACAACCACACTGAGCATCCATAAATGATAAGCAAAAATTTTTCATAGGTTAATTCGTTATCATCAACCCAACATGTATCAACTATCTCAACAATACATGTCAAATCACATGAACCGAGTGTACATACATATATCTCGGTATGCGTGTCCATATCTGATGTTCACCAACATCTCTGGTGTTAAACAACTCCTAAACCTCGTCATACAACATTATAAGGTCGAGAAACTCTCTCGAAAACATCAACGTGGGTCAAAAACATGCACATGCTAACTTCCAGACTAGCGGTCGACCGCATACATGCGGCGGTCGACCGAACCGCAAACCAGAAGCTTCGCCGCTAAGGCTTGGTCGACCGAACCCGATATTTCAGAAACCGTGCAGGTTTCTGCACAGTTATGTTCGTGTCGTGTTCTTATGATTTAAACTTATTTAATACAATATAAAACTTGCGTAAACATTGAAAACATCAGATTAACATCTCTGGGAACAATTTCAACATATAAAACATGATTATTTGTATAATAGATCATATTTAATCCTCAATCATACACGAAATCTCAAAATGAAGAACAAATCATCTAAATTTAGATAAACAACGTTATTAATCATTTTTAGATCTTAAAACACTTATGTAAATTCATTCTTAATCTCTTTAACATGAAAATACCTAGTCTTTATACATACAATATAAAATATCTGCTTTTATTTACACAAATTAATCAATTAGGCTCTATAAAACTTATTAAAAACTCTTTAAAAACGTTTTAAAATAGGGAGAGGGATTAGCAGAGATGAAACTCGCCTAAGACTTGATCTAATCGTGAGAGATGAAGTTTCAAAGCCGATCTCCAAGTTGTAAACCCAAAACAATCCGAAAGCCCGCTCAAAAGCCTTCAAATCTTTCTCAAAAATTAAATTAGGGTTTATGGGGAAGTTTGGTGACTGCCAGGGTTTCAAAATACTAAAAAACTCATATATAATTGATATATATATTAGGGAAAACGAACATGGGCCTTCAAAACCCGAAACCAAGTCAAAACAGGAAAAATAGCGTGCAGGTATCGCGGTCCACCGTGGAAATCGACCGTGGAAATCGACCGGACTGCGGTCGACAGCGACGGTCGACCAGACTGGAATTTTCCAGCTCCTCGAGATTTTCCTTTATGCATGTTTTTGATTCGCCTCTTTCTCATTTACTGTCATGTTTATACTCAAAACACTTGTTAGTGTACTCATACACCATGAAATGATATTTATCATAATGAATATCTATTTATTATAATTAATCACATATTAATTATATTATCACAAATTTTTGGGGTTTTACATATGTAAAGCCTCAAACTAATTGAGTTATGATTTTCTCAATTTGGAGACTTAGTGAAATTTATTATAATGTTTGGGCGAGGTTCGCCTTAGTGCCCTATTGAATAGGGCGAGGTTCACTTACTGAAGGAACAATCATATTGGTGAAATTCAGTAAGTCGGTTTAGGTGAGGCTCAGCCTCAGGATATAAACTTTAGGTGTTCAATCCGCGTGTCTGAAATTACGACAAAGTTTTTTTTGAAGAGAGATTCCAGGTGAAGTTTGAGGCTAGAATCTCTAGCAAAGTTCCGGGCGAAATCTTCAACGGAGTTTGTTGGCAAGATCTTCGGCAAAGTTTGGTGGCGGGATACTTGACGAAGTTTAAGCGAGGAATCTTGGGCAAAGTTTGGGTGTTTTAGCCTATAAGTAAGACTGTTTGCCTCCCTCTTCTTCACTTTGATTCAAAAATTCTCTCACTCTTCTTCGAACTCTAGCTTTCTCAAAAATCCCCAAAGTTCATCATCAATGGCTCTTCGTCACGCTATTTCCAAGGAAAGAAGCTCTGCTTGAGGGGCTCATTAGCCGAGAGCTGATGAGGTGTTGACGCAGCTATAAATGGTAACGGGTAAGTGTCAAACTCATCCATGACGATCTTCGGACCAACCCCAGTCTCAGCCCATTGGGCTCTAAACAATGTCTCACGACATCTGAAAACTTGATCTGCCTTTGAAGGCGAGATCTTTATGACCATTTGTGGTCTCTCCAACGAGCTTTCGTCGTTGGTGGCGGGGTTCTGTCAGCAGCCATTAATGGTGCTCATTGTGATAGTAAAAATAGTGTGACATTGCAAACATATTAGCAAGTAAAGGTGGTTTACATTTAAAAAAAAATGTAAAGATGAGAAATATTAATCTGGGTAAAAGTAAAGATTATTTTGATGCAAAAACCCTAATAAGAATCTCAAAGTTAATTCACCGGATAAAAAAGTTGATGTACAGCACAAAGCCTAAATTCACGTGCTTTAATCTTTAGTTTGTTATTAAAATGTGTGTCCTTTAATAAATGGCTTTTGAAGGACCCTTCACGAATTCGACCCGCTTCCACCTCTACTCCCAGCTGCCAGTATTCTCTACTCAAACTGCGATCTTCCGCATACTCGCCTCCTCCTCTCGTCTTCATCTGCCAAACCGTCCAATTCCCTTCTTCGTCGTCGGATCCGACGGCGGAGATGGACCAACAGCGGAGGAGTTCACCGAGGAGCTCCTGTTGAGGCCGCTGCCTGATCGAAAGCTGCTCGCTCATTTCCACTTCGAGAGCAGGGCTCCGCCCTCTATTTCCAACGGCCGACATCATCATCTCTTCCCAAAAGCAATCGCTCAGTTGGTAACCGATTCGATCTCTCAAGATCCCGTTTTCTTTTTTCGTGAATTTTGATATGAAATTAGGGTTTAAGCTGATGGAGTACTGGTTAGTGTGCGAATTAGGGATTTGATGATCTTGGGGTAGGGTTAGATGGAGTGAGTTCTTAACAGAAAGAATCTAGCTTCTGAATCTTAGTTAAGAATGCAAGTTTGCAGTTTTAATGGACTAATATGCGCATTTGTGGGGTTACAAAGGCAAAGATCCAAGTAAGTTTTGAACATAAAACACTGCTGGAGACCTCTTTAGCGAGACTTATTTTAAATTCAACTTTCAAAATATTGATAGTTTGGGAGATGAATATGAGAAAAAACCTAAAATTTTAAATATAATTCTGTATGTATGATTTAAACTAAATTAAATGGAAAAAAGAGAAGTCAGATAAAAGTATACTACGTGATGTAAGTGTAGTTGTTCAAATAAGTTGTGTGAGGTGGTTGTCGTCGTAATTTCCATTTGAATAAGTGGAGCAAAAGTATATGTGGTACAGAAATCGGTATTGAAGCCTACAATACTCTGACCAAAGGGTAAAGTTTCTTGAGCTTCACAAGTAGATAGCTTAAGCTTCAAAAGTTTAATTGCCCTGTATGCTATGTGGTGAATTGCCACAGTTATGCTTTAAAAGTGGACTGATAGTGAACTTTCAAACATATTGACTTGGAGAGGACGTAAGGAACTAAAGTGCATGTCTCCTATGGGGATCTTAAAAGTTTCATGGTGCACAGTCATCAGAATTCAATATATGAGGAAGGTTGTGCATGTTGGTGCAAGAATGTAGGTCATGAGAAATGGAGTGGATCATCTCATCCCGTTGTTTGAGATGTTTCATGGTAGGGCTTATTTTTTTAAAGCTTATGAGCTATGCTGGCTTTTGGTGGCTATTGGCTTTGTTGATAAATTTTTTATAAAAATTGTATTGATAGAAAATTGATTTACTTGGTCAAACCTAGTTTATTTAGATGAGCTAATAATTTGGCATTTTTTAAATGGTACTTACAAGCTAACTTATTTGGGATATTATTAAACATAAGATATTAAAAAGGTAGCTTATAAGCTACTTTGAGAAAAAATAAGCTCCCTCAAATACCATAATATTTGCGCTTCAATTAATTTCTGTCAAGCACATATGTTTGTCATATTTATTGCCCATTGAGGACTTCGGGATGTTGATGTTCAACGTCTTCAGCAGTTCAGTTCTCCTGTGATTGCATTACCTCCACAATAAAGCTTTTAGGTCCAAAGCTTTTATCAGGTGTTATTGTCAATGCTTTAAAAATCGGCCGATTTTATCAATACTCACCGATATATAGGGTTTGGATCACTGATGAGATGATTTCTAGAAAATTAAATAGGTTATCGTTTTTCACTAATTTCCTCCGATATGTTGGTGAAAATTCGATTAATTGGGCGCTTTTTATAGGGTCTAAATCGGCTGATTTTGTTTAAAAAATGTCCTAACTATTGTTTGTTTTTGGGTCCCAAAACCCTTATTTTTTAGACTCGAACCCAATACCCGCTAAATAAAATCAAAACAGCCAATCCTACTCGCTGTTACCTATAGCATTTACAGCAGCTGGCCTTAATTTCTCTCCGCCTCCTCCACTCTCTCCCCAAATTCAATAGCTCGATAACTCTGAGTCCTCTCTCAAAGGCGTTTTGGTATGTTACATTAATTAAGTGTGCTTAGATTAAATTTTAGGGTATTATATTGTATATGCTTACCATCCAATATGACACTCCGATTTTTACTATTTATCCCCGATATGTCGTCGATAACCACAATTCGATATGAATTCTGGCCATCTGATATATTTCCGATAACAGATATTTTAAATCTTGGTTATTGTAGTTGTTCAATAATCAAGCTTCTCATACCTCTGATGTTGGGTTAAACCCATAATGTCCTCTATTCCATGCAACTATGATGTACTAAGTGCTCTTGAAACAGTTAGATTTATGATATTTCGCAAACATATCTATGCAATGAGATCAACTGTCACTTGTTATTTCTAATTTCTGTTCTTAGCCTTGGCCACTGATTCTTCTTTTTCCATTATTGTGAAACTTAATATTCTTTATCGTCAAGTAAACTTAGAATCCTATGCTAGCATGAGTTTGAAATGAGGTTTTGAAGACTGTTGGAGATTATATTTTATTTAGGTCTTACATTGATACTCTGGTGCAAATGCTTCTCCAAAATTTGGATTGAATTCACAGTGAAAACGTATATCAGTTTTGCCTTTGTGCGCCATTCCAACTTGATGTGGAAAAATTAGTTATAGCCACTGACAGTATTTGTTTTGATGGAAACTATTTGTTACATGTAGTAATAAGCTTAAGGCTGTGATTTTAAATTTAGTTACCTGTCTTGTTTTATGACCTTGCTAGTCAGTGTAAAATTATCTGGGAAGTCATTACTTACCTTTAACTAGAAAATTTAATATTGACAAGTAAGTTTAATGTTCCCCTACCGCAAATCTTTTTTTTTTTGCTTTATTAGATCTTTCTTTTTATTTTGTTTTAAGTTTTAACATGCTAATATATTGTCAACAGGTCCAGAAATTCCATATTAGGGAACTGGAGTTGTCCTTCACACAGGGACGCTGGAACTACGAGAGTTGGGGCGGATCTGATCCCATGTCCAGCACCAATGCCAAGCCCCCTGGTGTTGAGCTGTGGGCTCTTTTTGACCTCCCAATTGATGAAATTGATGTTACCTGGAAAAATCTTACTCATTCTCTCTCAGGTCTCTTCTGTTCTTCAATCAATTTTCTTGAGTCTTCAACTGCCTATTCTGCTCCTGATTGGGGATTCTTCTCAAATTCAAGCAACCTCAGATATGGTGCATTGCCCCGTGAAGCTGTTTGTACTGAGAATCTAACTCCATGGTTAAAGCTTCTACCTTGTAGAGATAAAGCTGGTATAGCTTCTCTTCTAGATAGACCTTCAATTTATAAAGGATACTACCATTCTCAAAGATTGCATTTGATCTCATCTACATTGACTGGTATTATTCTAAAACAAAGTTTAACTATTGTTCTTCAGCCTAGTGTTGGAAGGAGTAAAGGTTCCCTTCAGCCAAGCTGGTCTATTAGTTCAGTGTTCAGACTGAAAGCTAGGCCAGAATAGTTTCTTGGAACTGGAGAGGGGTTTAACTGCTGAACTAGAGAAGCTTGGATCTGTAGAGTATTCAAGCAATCAGTTTTTTGAGTTGTCATGTACTCCAGACAAGGTGATAAAAGAGTCAAATGCATTACAAGGACAAAGTACTAGTTCTACTCTCTATGAATTCAGGGTATCAAACTCCAATGAAAACGAGCCTATGAATGTAGGAATTACATGGAAGCTTCCATTGACATGGTCTTGTGCGAAACCACCTTTCTATGCAAACAGGTTTCTAATGGGCAGTGGGTATGAGAGAGGATCTATTGCTATCTCCTTGCAATCTAGTCACTCGCATGAATGGCATTTGGATCAGTTTAATGGGTGTAAAGTGGAGGCTGTAGTCTTCCAGGTTGTTCCATGGTATGTTAAGGTTTATTACCACACACTTAAAATTTTTATAGACGGAAAACCTCAGATTGTTTCAGATGTGGTTGAGAATATGCGAATCTCCCCTTCAGAAGACAAGGTATCACCTGGGATGTTGGAGTTGATGCTTAGATTTCCTTGCAATATGCAGTCAGCTTCATTGGTTCTAGATTTTGATAAGGTTTGTTCCTGGTCTTTCCTGTAATATCCCTTTTGTTAGGAAGTTCCTGGATCAAATCTAAAAAAGAAGGGATATGCTAGCATCCATCTCTTGTTTGCTAAATTGACCCACAAGCTGTTTGTGTGTTGCATGAGAAACATAGGCAAGGAATTCAATGGCAACCCAGATATGAATTTCATGGAGGAAATCTATATATATTTACGTTATATTGTTTCTGGTCTCATTCTGTTTCCTGCACGACTTATTTATGGAGTTGTTGAAAAGTTCTAGATTACATGTAACTCTTACTGTAGTTTATTATTTTTGCAGGGATTCTTGCACATCGACGAGTACCCTCCAGATGCTAATCAGGGGTTTGACATTTCATCAGCTCTAATAAGTTTTCCCAACTTCTATTCAAACAGAACCTATCTTATAGATGATTCGTTAACTCAGTCTCCTCTGCTACTTGAATTTCAGGTATCTAAAGATTCTGATAAAGTGGACACTAATCTACTATCGCTTAGAAGTTATTTTTCATCATTTTTACTGTGTAAATGTTTTTTCCAGGAAGAAAATATTGTGCAGTCATATACGGAAGTATTGTTAGTCCCACTGACTACTCCAGATTTTAGCATGCCTTATAATGTCATTACCTTCACATGTACTGTGTTAGCATTATATTTTGGATCATTGCTGAATGTCTTACGAAGAAGAGTCGGTGAAGAGGAGAGGTTATTAAAATGCCAAGGTATGCCTCTTGGTTTTCCAGTAGTCTTCTGCTGTTTTTGGATGATTTTTCTGTTTGGCTTCATCTAGTTACCGGTTGGAAATTC